CAAACATCCCACCAACCAACCCGAAACTTGGTTTGGAAAACCCATGCTGCGGCGACTGCGATGAGAGCTTGGCGTTGGCTGGTGCATCTTGGCGGCCGCGCCGACCCGCGCGTGCACGCGCGCGCAGCGGGCAGCGAGTTTGGCGGGACCGACACGGCCGCGGTTGCGCTGACCGCCGGGCACATCCCAGCGAGCACTCCATTGCGATTCGGCGACTTGGGCGGGCGCGGTATCATGGCAACGTCGACAAGCGTAGACGCGATGATGATAGTAGCGATGCTGGCGACGATGCTGACACCGACGACGGCACGGCTAGTGACGGCACCGATGCTGATCACGCCGACGACGATGACGGCGTCCTCGCGTCGGGGATGAAGGTTTGGAAGGACTTCAAAGTGCGCGCGCAGCCGACGCGCGAGAGTGGCCGCATGGTATGATTTGACACGGGTCGTGCCCCCCCAATACGCGCGCAAGGGCGTTCGAATGATTTCGGCATGCGGCGAGAGAGGCCCGTTTGGCAGAATTCAATGAAAATGTTGAAGCAACCACCTTATGGTTTTTTTATACGATTCGCCAGAGAGCGAACGCCAGTTGTTGGACAAATGATGTTGCGAAACTATATGTTTTGTCTGGTCTCGGGGCTCTCGGTTGTAAATTCTTGCGAAATCTAGGGTTGTTTGACTGATTTCGGCATGCGCGCGCGGCCGACGCGCGCGCGTGTGCACTTAGTCTCATTTGATGCTAAGGATTTTCGCGACAGCGCGCGCGCAAGGGCGTTCGAACGATTTCGACATGCGCGCGCGAAGCCCTTTTGGTAGCAGGTGATGGTTTTTCTTTGTTTAATGGTTTTCTTACGGATTCGCAAGAGCGCACGCGCAAGCGTTTTACCGACAAAGGCGTGTTGCAAAACCATATGTTTGGAATGTTGTTTGGACGATCGATTTTGAAATCCTCACGGAAGCTAAAATGTCTTGGAATGATTTCGGCACGCGCCCGCGACGAAGCGCGTGTGCGCGCTTCGTCCCATCGTCTGCATGGAATTATTGAAACCTGATGATTTGAGAAAAACGCGTGCGCGCATAATTTTTGTTGCTGGGGATGACGGGGTGTGTAGATACCAGCCTGCCTGGGCTGGTACGAATCAACTTGTAGGATGGACGATGGGGCAGAGTCATATGAAAATCTCCATACGAAAGAGGGTGCGGATAACACCGGGGGGGGAGAATCTATTTGTACTCTGCAGAAGGGAGAATCTATGTAGTGCAGGCTACGTGGTGCAATCTATGTGGTGCAAGCTATGTAGTGGAATCTATCTGGGCGGCGACGGGGCGGGGACGGGGCGGCGACGGGGCGGCGACGGGCGGCACCGCCGAGAAAAGCCGGGACTGGGGCTCAGGCGACGGGCGGCGAAGAGGCGGCGACGGGGCGGCACTGCGACGAACAGCCGGCACTGGTCCCCAGATGGTTAAGACACGCAAGATCCCCTCAGTGCAAGCACTGTTTGGGGAAAGTAAACAAATACGGTGGGAGGTTAAGGATGGTCGGTGGGCCCGACCAAACAACAAGTGGTGGTGTTGACAATGCCATGCGGACTCTGTGCTCCGCGGCCTTTGTGGCCCGAAGCGCAAACCGCCCCCCGGGCCCGCATCCGGCAAGGGCCCGAGCGCAGACCTTTGGCCCCGAGCGCCCGGAACGCACACCGACGGAGACGCCAACTCGCTGAGGGACCGGCAGGCGCACGGCCAACCCTTCGCGCGCCACCGCGGCGGGTCTGGCGAAAGGCGCGGCGCGCGGGGCGCGGAGCCAGACCCGCGACGTCATGGCTTGTCTCTCTTCTCCTGCACATATTCTTAAGTCGGGCATGTCCTCCTACAGGCGGATTTCTTCCCAACAATTGAATAAGAGTTGAAAATATTCAAACATAGTCAAAAACACAACAGGTCGTCCCCCGGCTACTGTTTGACTATTTTGAATATTCCTCCTGTGGAGGACCAAGCCCGCCTTCAGCATATTTGGAAGGAGGGGGAGGGAAGCGAAGGGCAGGGAGCACGCGAGCCGCCGCATCTCTCCAAAGTCTGGCCGCCGCGCGCACGGGAGCCTCCCCCAGCCTGCCCGGCCCGATGCACGAGCCTCCACGTCGCGATGTTCCACCACCACCCCAGTGAGGAAAACAATTTAATGTTAGGGGGAAAGGGTTGGGAGGATAAAGGATATGAGCAATAGGATCCGGACGCAAGGAACGATACCTTCGGCCGCCTACGTGCAAGGATGCTTGCTTTTTCCCAACCCCATCCTCCCAACCCGATAATTGTCTTCCTGACCCAGGCATCTGGCGCCACACGAAAGTGGAGGCGGCCGATTTGACCCCACTTTTGGCCTTGGGATGCCAGGCGGAGGCCCCAGGGCAGGGGTCCAGAGATCTGGGGCCCACGCATCCCACAGATCGGGGCGCTGGACGATTGGAACACGGACCCACTGAGGTCTCGACTCCCTCCCTGGGGCTCGCTGCTCACCCCTGCAAGCCCCGGGGCCCTGCATGGGGGCCCCAGGACGCACAAGAGGGCCAGAAGCTGTCCGTCGTGACCCTCCTCAAGACACGAGGAGGTCTGACTTTCGGGTCACGGCTCAAGCCTCCCGCGGCCGCTCGGGACGCCCCGGGCACCCCCAGAACGCTCTCGGCGAGGCGCAGCTGCGGGACCGCATCCCGAGACAGGAGAAGCTCCAGGAACCCCGACGAGAAGGTCCGAAAACCCCGAACCTCGAACCCCGATCCGAAGCTGGCCGCCTCAGGAAGACCTCGACCTCGTACATCAGCCTCCGGAACTGCGCCCCGCCGTTGATCTCCACCTGCGGCGCCGTCGCTGCAGCCGCGAGCGACCGCAGCCGCCGGCCGCGGGGGACGTCGCAGGCTCCTGCTGTCGCCACTGCTGCACCCCTCGGCAGCAGGTGGCGAGGAGCGGGATGAGGCGCGAGGCCAGGATGCGACGCTCCCGGAGGGGGTCCCTCAGATCCTGGCGACGCAGTATGTTCGGGCGCTTTCGCACGGATTCGGGCCCCGGGACCCTCACGGGTCCATCCGTCTCGAAACGTGGCGCCGAAAGATGGGGGCCAGGGCTCCGAGCGCGATGCTCTGCGATGTTACGAATTGTCTGCCACCTCGGATCCCAGGGGAGGCGCACGGGGGGAGGACTTCCAAGAAGCGGGCGGGGCTTCTAAGGGAGCCCGCCCGCATGGAAGCACTCCTGGACGCCTCCAGGGCCTTCTGACGAGACCCTCCGCCTGTTCAGAGGGCCGCCCCCCTCGCGGCACCCCCCTCAGTGGGCACCGCCAGACATATCCACCGCCTGGGGAACTGATGCCCCAGGACCCCTTCGGGCGGTGGGTATGGAAGTTGTAGGGCCACAAGGGGGGCCAGCACATGGCCACGTCCACCGACTTCTGGGGTCCAGGAAAATCGGCTCCACAGGCGGCGGATGTGTTCACATCCTGGCCTCGGACAGGAGGTATGGCGAGCCCAATCCCCGACTTGGTGGGACCTGCGACTGGACAAATGAGTCGGGGCTCAGCTCGAGGATGCACGATGGAGGTCGTCCACCATCGACATGGGTGCGTCCGAATTTCCCCCTCCGGATGTTCCAAAAAGAAAAACCCAAACAACCAACACCACTGTTCCACGCAGATCACCGTCTTCCCTTCAAGGTAGGTTTTAAGTAGGGGGGGGCAAATCGGAGATAGGAGCGAGAAACACCTGCGACTCTGGGCGGACGAAAGAGGGAGATAGCAAAGAGGGAGGGGGGGACCAGCTGCATCCAGCTGGCTTCCTGGTGCCAGGAGCGACCATGTGCCGAGGAACGCGCTGAGCGACGGGGCCGAAGATGGCTGCACGCAGCAGGTCTCTCGTAGTCCCCCCTCTCTTTCTCAGTCTCCCCCCGCTCACGTCCGCCCCGGACCTCTCGATTCGACGGGGGGGCGCCTCAAAGGTGGGAGGCAAATCGCCCTGGACGGCCCCTGCAGGGGGGAAAATGTGAGCCTCGAGCGGGGCTCGCTCCCTGAACCCTGCCTCAGTCGGGGGCGCGCAAACATGAATTAGCGATCCATGGATTTGGCGCGCGGTCGCCAAATCCATGGATCGGGGGGGGCCCTCCCCAAGATGCGGCCGGTGCCGCCTCGCTCGGCGGCGGAAATCCAAGATTTTCCGTGGAAACGCACTGGTCATCATCATCATCATCATCATCATCATCATCATCATCATCATCACCACCACCACCACCATCAACATCATCAGCATCATCATCATCATCATCATCATCATCATCATCATCATCATCATCATCATTATCAGCAGCATCAGCATCCTCATCATCATCAGCATCAACAACATCACCATCGTCGTCATCATCATCATCCTCATCCTCCTCATCATCATCAGCAGCAACAGCAGCAGTATCAGCAGCAGCGGCATCATCATCGTCATCATCATCAGCATCAGCAGCAGCGTCCGCATCATCGACATCATCATCACCACCATCATCAACATCATCGACATCATCACCAGCACCCATCATCGTCATCATCATCATCATCATTTACATCGTCATACGCATCATCATCATCATCATCAACAACAACAACATCATCGTCATCATCATCATCATGCTCATCATCACCATCATCATCGCTACAACCGTCCACCCCCTCCTCCTCCTCCTCCTTATCCTCCTCCTCATCATCATCAGCCTTTTCATCATCATCATCATCATCATCATCATCATCATCATCATCATCATCATCATCATCAGTAGCAGCATCATCATCGTGCGCATGTTCCTCCTCGTCCGCCTCATCCTCCTCCTTCAGTTCCTCTTCCTCCTCATCCTCATCTAGAATCACATGCGCCATTATTATCGTCATCATAAGCAGCGTAAGCATCATCGACATCGTCCGCGCCATCATCATCATCCTCATCATCACAATCATCATCAAAGCCACCATCAGCTTCAGCATCAGCATCCTCCTCATCGTCATCCCCATCATCAGCATCATCATCACCATCATCATCACCCGTATCAGCATCATCATCAGCATCATCATCTTGGTCCACGTCATCACCGTCATCATCACCATCATGAACAACATCGCCATAAACCTCGTCATCACCATCACCATCATTATAATCATCAACATCACCATCAGCAGCATCATCATGATTGTCATGATCATCAGCATCATCAGCATCAGCATCATCACCAGCCAACATCATCATTATGACCATAATCATAATCATAATCATCATCAGCATCATCACCATCAGCATCATCATCACCATTATCATCACCATCATAACCACCATCACCATCACCACCTCCATCACCATGCTCATCCTCATCCTCATCATCATCCTTCTCCTCCTCATCATCAGCATCATCAACATCATCAACATCATCATCATCACCACCACCATCATCATCATCAGCATCATCATGATCAGCAACATCATCATCATCATCATCATCATCATCATCATCATCATCATCATCATCATCATCATCATCATCATCATCATCATCATCATCATCATCATCATCATCGTCACCACAACCGTCTACCCCCTCCTCCTCCTCCTCCTCCTCATCGTCATCATCATCAGAAGCATCATCAGCATCGTAATCGTCATTGTATTTCTGGCCATCTTCGTCGTCCTCGCCATCTTCCACCTGCTTCGCCTCGTCCTCGCATCCCCTTGTTCCATCTCCTCATCCTCTGGCCCAGTCGGACAGCCGCCTCGTGCGCCGGGACCTTCATCGTCTCGCTGTCCAAGTACTCGCGCGGCAGCGAACGCGAGGGAGGAACCGGCGGGAGCGGGCCGTGGGGTTCTGAGGCGTCCAGGGGTTTTCTAGCGGCTTCTGCGGGGATCCTGGGGCGGTCCCGGGAGCAGGAGGAGGAGGAGGAGGAGGATGATCAGAAGAGGAGGAGGAGGAGGAGGAGGAGGAGGGAGCAGGAGGAGGAGGAGGAGGAGGAGGAGGAGGAGGGGGAGCAGGAGGAGGAGGAGGAGGAGGGGCAAGATGAGGGCAAATCCGGAGGAGGACAGGTCGGGGCTGTCGGAGAGCGGGCGGGTCCTGGAGGGCGTGTCGGGCGCCGCGGCCCTTTCAGGCCGTCCCGGGGGCTCCCCGAGAGCGCCCCGGGAGCGATGGGTCCTCCTGCTGGGACTGCCTCCAGGGGTCCCTGGGGCGTCCCAGGAGCAGGAGGAGAGGAGGGGGGAGGAGGGATGGGCGGCGCACTTCCCTCGGGGGTGGTAAACCCAGGGGTGCGCGGTGGGATGCCGGGATGGGAGAGCGCTGGACGCGCACCCGCACTAGGCACTCTCTTCCCCGACCCCGTCGACGGGCTGGAGGGAGCAAGAGGAAGAGCAGCTGCAGGGGAGGACAGAGGAAAGAGGAAAGAGGAACGTGGAATGAAGAAGGGCTATATATATTATAATCCACGCGTATATACATGTACGTGTGCGTGCTTCCTCTCTCTATCTCTCCCTCTCTCTTTGTATATCGTGTTCGTTCTCTGCCTCGGTCTCTTTCTCTTTCCGACGTCGCTTGCCTCGTCCAAGTCGGCAGGATGACCAAGTGAAGCTTCCAATAAAACTACGGTGAGGGCATTGGATAAGGAATCACTGGATAAGGAATCCAGGGTCTGGAAGCTGATGGAACTTCGATCGTGGATTGGCCATGGATATCACCGGCGCCCTCATCAGATCAGGAGCCCTCCAGGGTCTGAACACCTCTGGGCACATTCCTTAACGAACGCCCCCACCGTATTCGCTATAGCTTATCATCACCAGCTGAAGCCCACATGAATGCACTCGACAAAGCTACGCCTTCGTCCTGTAATGCGGACCCCGTTGTGCATGCCCATAAAAACCTAGCCTCACAAATAAGCCTGCAGCACAGAGTTCCACAAACAGCGGCGCAAACCAAAAACGCGTGATGACGAGGTGGTGACCTGCGCCATGGCGCGCTGCTCCCAACCCAAGCGCGCTGTGTCGCGCGCGAGGGATCGACGTTTCTCGAGAATTGAAATCTCGAGATGGCGCAGGTACGTATCCGTCTCCAGGAGGGAGCGCTCCGTAAAAACACTTAGTTCCAGTCCCGAATGGACAGCGTTGATGAGCAGGCCTCTTACCTGGGGTTGCTTGATGGTGGACGGGGCAGCGCTACATCAGAAACTGCACATGTTATGGTAGGCAGCATCCACTGAGTAGAATAGCTAACGGGGCATTGGGCCTGGTGCAAACGTCGACGAGAATAATCAGCCAAAGATTGGAATCTGATGCAGCGTCTTCTTATCTACCGCGCCAGGCGCGGATCCACCGCATTCCCCTGTGTCCCTGAATCCCGTATCTCCCCTCCCCCCTCGCGCTCACGCTAAAGGGCAACTCTGACCCTATCCGCGCCTGGATATAGTCGTCTAGATTACCGAAGTCGTCGGTCGGCAGTCTGTCGAAGGAATCTGAGGGCGGCACTACTGCGCATGACATAGCTGCTCAAAGCGCTGCGTCATAACTGCCACTGCCACCGCAGCCGCTGCTGCCAATACTGCTCTCCCCTTCTGACGCTAGCATGCAGGCCAAACTGTTCTATCCTTTCTCATGTAGCACCTACAAGGCCCCGTTCCGCTGCCCCCCCCTGGGCGAGGGATCAAAGGGAGGGTACGAATACGATTGTTTCGCACTCGTGTAACGTCTCTCCCCCGTTCAGCGCCGCGGGAGACACCAAGAAGGGATGCAATGGTGGGACGCGAAAGAGCGGCACGAGAAGGGCACCGAGACGGAGCGCAGGTATAGAACTGCGGGCCCCTCACACTTTCACACTCGCGTCGCCTGTGAGAATGCCCTGGTCAATGAAGGATGTGGCGAAAAAGCCGGGCCGATTGCGATGATGGGCGGTCGGCCTCCCAGGTTCCCCGGCCCGGGTTCCCCCGTTCCAGTTCTTCGGCTCCGGGCATTGTCAAGAATCTGCGACGGTGTGCCGCCGATTCGAGTGGGTAGCCAGGGCCCCAGATCCCTACACGTCGCTCATGTCTAATCGTGCTCATTTCTAGTTGTGCTCGTTCCTAATTGTTCCTGGCCCCCTAGTGGCCAGGAAGAGGCCCAGGACAGAATAATTAGAAATGAAAGGATATTGGCCACAAAAAATCAAGGGATTTTCGAAGAACTAGAAATGAACATCGTGTAGGAGTAGAGAGTAGAGAGAGTAGATCGAGCGGGGAGGATCGAGAAAGCAGGCACATCATACGGAGCAGAACGATTAAAACGGTGCAGAGAGCAGAGTGGGCACGCAACAGAGAGTATAAGTATACATTGCTCGCACAGTCTAGAAAGCAGAAGGCATGGGTGAGAGCGCAGAGTTCTGAGAGCAGAGCATATAACATAGAGCCAAGAGCTGTGGCACGAAAGTTGAGAGTAGAAGGTGGAGGGAATAGAGAGTGGAGAGTAGAGGGTGGAAGGTAGATAGTAAAATGCAAATGGAGAAGGCACAGAGTAGACAGCAGAGAGAGAAGAGAAGATAATAGAGAGTTCAAAGAGAACAGTAGAAATGATAAAAACACAGGGAATCATCTTCGTATCCCCTTGCTCTCGCCGACCACAAGCGCGCTATCCTTACATGTTACGCGAGAGCACATATTTCGGGTGTCCTGGTGTAGCGCGTTTTCGAATTGGCACCACCAGCAAGGAAACACGGGACACCAAGATAGGACACACACGGGCAACCTCAACGCGCCACGGTCGGACGCCACGATGCGCCATCAAGCTGGATGGCCATATAAGAAAGTCGTACGCCTTGCACGTGTGCCTGTCGCCTGCTTCGGAACCGCATGTCGTGTGCTTGACGAGTGCGTTGCATTCGTTGCGCCCGTGGTCCACACAGCTTCCACGCTGATGCGCACGCACCCCTCCTCGGCTGCCTGGACGGGGGGGGGATCGGTCAGCACCGAATCGGGAAACCGGGTCGAAATCGGGGTGTGCGTCGCACCAGGCTGCTTTTCACAACGCGAGGGGGCCCGGGAACGGCGCCTCTCCCGCCCGGCCCAAACCTGCGCCAGACCTGTCCTCGGAGACCCCTCCCCCGCCTTCTCCAAGGCCCCCCCGACCCGCCTTCCCGAGGCGGACTTCGCCGTGCGGCGACGCGCAGCCTGCCCTGCCGGGAGGCCCCCCCCCCAGAAAGGGACGAACGAGACCCTCCCCCCCGCGGGAGGGAGGGCCGCCGCTGTCTCGGCTGAAGTGGCCCTCCTCCGGGGAGAGCCCCCCGGGGGCTCTCCCCGGGCGCCTCGAGGCGGCCGAGGTCCGGAGCCCAGGCCTCCGCAGGGAGCCACGCCGCGCAACAGAGCACGCCGTCGGACAGCCGGGAGGCCCCGCGAGAGGCTCGCGTGTGCCGCTCCGCGCCGCGCGGCGGCGGGAGAGGCGGGGAGGGGCTCGGGGCGCCGACGCTCGGGATCCGGGGCGCGGTCGGCGCGCCGCGCCGAGGCGCTGTCGGCCAGGACCGGCGGGACGGCATGCCGAGCCTAAGAGTGCCCGGTCGCGTGCGAGGAGCAGGCTGGGAGCACACCAGGCAGGAAGGCGTCGAGGGTCTGAGAGGGCCTCCGCCCGCCCCCGGAACAGGAGGGGAGAGAGCAAGCCACTCGACTCCTGGAGTCTAAAGTATACAGGCGCCTAAACTACACTGGGATCTGGAGATCCATAAACCCGCCGACCCTGCATGTTGGCGTGTGTGAAACGCTTTTTCCGTTTGGGTCGTCGTCGTCGTCGTCGTCGTCGTCGTCGTCGTCGTCCGTCTAGGTCGGCAGCACCGGCCGCAAGGCCCTCGCAACACCTGCTCCGAGTTTCTTCATAAGCGTCGGGGGGGCCTCACCCCTGCCGACAGCCCCACGTCGACCCCCGTCGTCGCGCGACGACGAGGCGAGGTTGACCCCCGTCGGGGGGGTACCTCCCCACGCTCATTAAGAAACCCCGAGTCCTTCCAGCGACCGAAGGGCAATGTCGCCCCCCCCACCGGGGCGCATCACGTAGGCCCTTCCCCGGGGTGGCAGCTGCGCGCGCGGCGGGAGCGCTGCCGACCGACTGTGGCCGCGCGGAGGGCCGACGAGCCAGGCGCGAGGCGCTGTCCTGGGCTCGTGCCCAGCTTCTCGTGGTAGCTGTGGAACTCGCGGAGCTCGCTCTCGAGGGTCATGCGGTTGATGTCGGACCGGATGTATCCCTCGGGGGAGGGGGAGGAGGAGGGCGGGCAAGGGCGAGGAGGAGGAGGAGGAGGAGGACGAGGAGGAGGAGGATGAGGAGGACGACGGCGACAAAAAAAGGGCAGAACGGGTGAGGAAGAGAAGGAGGAGGAGGAGGAGGAGGAGGAGGAGGAGGAGGAGCAGGACGAGGAGGAGCAGGACGAGGAGTACGAGGAAAAGGAGGAGGAAGAGGCGGAGGAAAAGGAGGAGGAGGAGGAGGAGAAGGGAGAAGGAAGAGGAGGAGGAGGAGGAGGAGGAGGACGACGACGACGACGATGACGATGACGATGACGACGACAAGAAGGAGAGGAAAGAAGAAGGGGAGGAGGAGGACGAGGACGACGACGCCTTCCAGGACGAAGAGAAATCCGCCGACCCTGTCGGCGTGTGTGAGGGGCTTGTCCGTTCAAGTCGTCATCTCCGTCATTCGTTGGTCGTCGTCTCTGTCGTCCCCTTTCTCTGCCCCCCCCCCTTTCCCTGGGCCCGTCGAAGCTCCCCCCTTCCCCAGGGACCTCCTCAGCGCGCCAGCCAAAGCGAAAATAAGCAACATCGTAATTGAGTCGAAGGGAAGCCCCTTCCCTTCGATCCCTCCCCCGCCGGCGGGGGTGGAGGGGTGCGGCGGGGGGGGTCCGGGGGGGGGGTCAAACGCCCCGGGGTGGGAGGGGGGGGGTCAGATACGACGCCCCCCCTGGGAGTCCCGGAGCCCAAAAAAGCCCCAAGACGGGCCAAGAGTACCCCAAGAGGCCCCAAAGACAGTCCAAGAGAACCCCGAATCGCCGAACGATCTGTCCAAGACGTGTTGACGGCCTCCAGACGGCCCAAGAGGCCTGCAAAGCGCCCCTAAGAGGCCTCCAGGAGCTTTCGCACGAGAGCCCCAAGAGGCAAAATTCATGGATTTCCCATACGTTTTTGAAAGATTGTGGCGTTCTTGCCTCTTCCGCTTCCCGACGCGCCAAGACGGCCCAAGAGGCCCCCAAGATCGCCCCGAGACGGCCCAAGAGGCCCCCAAGAGGGTCCCCTAACGGCCGAAGAGGGCCCCAAGACGGCCCAAGACGCCTCCAAAATGGCCCAAGAGGCCCCCAAGACGGCTCCAGGAGAGTGCCCAGACGAGGGACCCGAACGGACATTTCGAGCTCTCAGCCCCAGGAGGCCCCCAAGAGGCCCCGAAGAAGCCCCAAAAGGCCCCAAGAGGCTCCCAAGGGCCCCCCAAACTGCCCCAAGACAGCCCAGGAGAGCCCCAAATTTCCCAGGAGGCCTCCAAGAGTGCCTCGAGACGGCGCAAGAGGAGCCCTGGACGGCCAAAGACGGCCTCAGGAGAGCCACGGGCTGTCCCAAGAAAGCCTCTGGCCTCCTCCTCTTCCTCCTCCTGCTCCTCCTCCTCCTCCTCCTCCTCCCCCTCTGCTCCCCCTCCTCCTGCTCTCCTCTGCCTCCTTCTCCTCCTCTTGCTTCTCCTCCACATCCTTCTCCCCCCTCCTCCTCTCGCATCCGCCTCCTCCAACCTGCCACCCCCCTCATTTTCATCTTCGTCGCTCTCGGGGTCGGCGGCAACGGCCGTAAGGCCTTCGCAATACCGAGCGGGGCCAGAGGCCCCGCGCCCCTTCCTCCCTGTTCCCTCCCCTCGTCTGTTACTGCGGCCAGGGTGTGGCACCCTCCCTCCCTCCCCCCCCTCTGGAAGCGGAGACGACCCACCAGTGACCAGCGGCCAGGCCCGCGCCGCGCACCACGGCGGGCGCCCCTCGGGCGCTGGCCACGCGCGCGGGCCACGGACGGCGGCATCGCCCCGTGGCGCTGCGGCAGCAGAGGGACGACGAGGACGAGGAGGCTGAGGAGGTGGCGGCGGCGGCGGCGGAGCGGCAGGAGGAGGGGGGAGGAAGCGGAGGGGGGGCAGGGGGAGGAGCAGGAGGAGGAAGACGGAGCACCAGGACTTGGAGCAGAAGCCAGAGGAGGCAGGGGAGAAACAGCAGGAGGTGGAGGAGCAGGACGACGACGCGGTGAGAAAGAGGGACAAGTGAGGACGGAGGAAGGGGAGAAGGAGGAGGACGAGGAGAATGTCACGAATGTCATGATCGCCACAAAGGAGGACGAGGAGAAGGACCAGCAGCAGGACAAGGAGGAGAAGAGGGAGCGGGAGTATGCGGGAGTGGGATGAGAGCAGCAGCGCGCAGTGCAGCAGACGGGCGTCCATGCGCGGCTGAAAAAGGCTACATGACTGATCGACAGCATCGACGACGGCCTCG